ATTAATAAAAATCAAGTTCTCTCAGTTTGATTTAAGTTTTTTAGTTCATATTTTAAGTTCTTAAGTTTTGGTTTTGAAGTTTCTTTTGATTTAATGTCGAGTTTGACATGTTAAATTGATTTATTCTTGAAATTTTAAATAATTTTTGGTTAAGTTTACCTTTTAGTTTAGTCTTGTTATTAGTTTATTTTCATCTTTGTTATTTTTATCTTGTCAAGAAACATTATTTTATCGTCATAAATATCATTTAGTCATAATATTCAAAGTAAATTGCCATGAACACAGTCACTATTGTCATTTTGAAATACTTTCATATGCAAAAGTTCAAAATGGTAATAATATAGTAAAATAAAAAATATAGCTTTTTTTATATAAAAGTTTTTAATTTTGTTAATAAATATTTTTATTTTTATATTAAAATAAAGATAATATTATATATTTTAATATATATATATATATATATTATTTAGATTTTTTAGATTTAATTTAATAAAATTATTTTAATTATTTATAGTAATTAATAGAATTATGAAATTATATATATAATTTTATTAATAAACTATGATAAAAATTAAAATTTTTATTTTTATAAAAGTTTTTAATTTGATTAATAAATATTTTTTATCTTTATATTAAAATAAATATTATAGATTATAATTTAATATATATTTTTTCTGGATTTTTTAGATTTTTTTTTGACAAAGTTATTTTAATTAAAAAATTATTGCAAAAATTTTTTATAATTGATTTTATATTTTAATTATAAAAAATTTTTGTAATAACTTTGTAATTAGAATAACTTTATTAGAAAAAATTTAAAAAATTCAAAAAAAAATATATGTTAAATTATAACTTATGATCTTTGTTTTGTAAAAAAATAAAAAATATTTATTAATAAATTTATATATAATTCTATAATTTTGTTATATATAATATAAAACATAAAATAAAAAAATAATTTATATAATTTTAATATAAAAATATAAAAATATAAAAAAAATAAAATAACTATATTATAAATTCTTTAATTTTGAAATTATTGAAGTTTAATAATATTTTCAAATAAAATATTTTAGAGATTTTAATATATTTTTTATTTTTATAATTAAATATTGAATTATTATTAAAAATTTATATATGAGTTAAATGCTATAAAACTAATATAAATTGTATTAAATTTATAATATTATTTATATTATTTCTATATTCTAAATAAATATATTTTGCAGTTTATATAATTTATAATAGTTTAAATAAAATTGCTAACTATTTTCAGAAAATTTTAATAAATAATTTAATTTATAATAATCTAATTTATAATTTTAATTAGTAATTTTATAAAAAATATAATCTCAATTTTATTGAAACTGGTACAAACATATGGTTTAAATCATGATTCAAATTAATGATTTAAATAAATTACTCATTTTTTATCAAAATAATTATATTTTTTGTAATAACTTATTTTTATATTAATTAATTTTGCTTGAAAGTTCAAAAAAATGTAAGTATGCTAAAAATTAGCAATTTAAGTAAAGTAAATAAACTGATAACATGTCTAATTCCGAATTTAAGATTCTGAATATATAATTGGTTAATATTAAATTTGTTATATGTAATAGTTATTATAATTAGATTGATTCTTAATAATAATATCAAAAATAAAATAAATAAATAAACTTGAAAATGTTTTAACTATAATATTTATATTTCTTATAAAATTTGATTATCTTAGTATTAAAAGAGATATTAATGCAAATTTTTTAGAATATAAACTAAAAACATGAATTTTTACAATTTTTTAGTATCTTAAAACTAAAAAAATAAAACTAATCTAATTTTTTATAATATAAAATAAAAAATATGGACTTGCATTTTTATTATTAAAGTGTTGTTAGCTTTTTCATTGAACTTTTGTAATAATAAAAATACAAGTTCTTTTGAACAACTAGCAATTTCATTGAAATTATTCATAAGTACTTTTGAATGATCATTAACTTATCTCATATTAAAGAAACAAATTCGTTTAGTATATTTTCTCAAAACATACTTTTTTGGTTCAATCAAATGTAAAATACTCATTTTTTATATAAAATTTTGTCCAATAAACTTTTTGACTAACGCTTAGTAGTAAAATACCAAATTTAATATCGATATGATCAAAAAAGATCCATTTTATATTCATGAACCTTCGCTATCGCAAATTGATTTATTTAGCTACAGATTTGCATGCAATCTCAAAGATTATCGTTGCAGGTATCGTTATCATTTAAAAAATGCACGTTGCGTAACGATCAACATGTACAATATGGTTAGGCGTGAAAATATATTAGAATATACAAAAATCGCGTTTTCATACAAATAAGTACAATAAAAAGTGATTTAATTAAAAATCCATATCGACATGTAAATAGTCCTCGTAGTATTTACGTCGCGCTCGTTCTTCTATTAAAATAAAAATTCATAATGGATTAACGAAATTGACTCTAATACTATAAACAAACATAGGTTAGACTTCGATTACCTTCTTCTAATAATCTCACTTGTTCTAGAAATTCTGGTGGTATGTCTTCAAATAGTTCCGGTGGAGTAAGCAGTTGCGATTGTTCTGATTTCGAAAAGTCATTAGCAATATTATTTGGAGTGGGAGTAGAGTCCGCATCAACAGGTTGTGAGGTAGAATCTGTATTGTGTTGTTGTTGTGATTGCGGAGAATTCATAGCAGCAGTGCTATTATCATAGTCATTAGTATTTTTTTTAATATCAATCAAATGATCGAATTCTTGTTTGTCTGCATCCGGAATCGATATGCATTCTTCCTTTTTATTCGAATTCGATATTTTAGATTGAATTTGTATAGGGCTTTTTGGAAGGTTTTCGTTTTGTTGCCGTTGTTTCTTTTCTCGTGCAATTGTGTTTTTATTGGTAGAATAAGGAGACGAAGATTTTGATTCTTTTGATACGATTGACATGGAACCTTTACGACTTTTATTTCTAAGACGTGTTCCTTTTTGTTGTTGTATTTCTTGCGGATCAGTTGATTTTAAATCAATTGTTGCTGTGACTGTTGTTGTTGGAGAGGGTAACGAAGCTTCCATTGTGAAATTATTATATGGGTATTTAAATGGTAAAGTTGTTCGTTTTGGTTTGATTATGCGCAGAAAGTTATCTTTTTAAGTGATAATAACGATAAGTGCTGAAAAAAATTAACTAAGATCACGCACAATGACTAATTGATGTTTAAAGGATACCAAGTTTTTAAATTAGGATTTATTCCTTAGCAAAAAAAATTCATGGATGAATCAAACTCCTTTTTATACTTTTTCTTTAGTTATACAAGTATGGTGGTGCTTTTTGATTAGTTTAAGTTTATTTTATGTTTGTTTTATCGTTATACTGATTCAATGACTTTTATTTTTATGTTGTACTGTTTCAATGTATTTTTTTTTTATTAATATATAACAGGATATAACAGGAGAAGAATTCTATATATTCATTCTAACGTGAAACAATACTAAAATTGAAAGGAAAAAACCAATAATCGAATGACACATACCGATACAGACCTGGTTAATCTTATTTCGTATTCGTGAAATGGTTGTGATTTTAACTAATTCTCAATGGCGTATTTTTTGTATATACATGTAGTATGAATTTATTGTCATGCACGATGACGAAAACGGTATAATCGGTCGGTACCTGTCTTTTCTATTGTCACACATGACTCGGGGTTTTCTTGCGGGTCCCGTTCAGGTCACCGCATCACACGCGCCGTCCCGTGCCGTAGAGATGCGCAGCGGTATACAGAATTCGCAATGAATATTCCCACAGTGTATTTATCAGCGCTGATCAATTGTTTTTAGAAAAGATATAATGATAAGAATCAGGTGTGACATGTTTCAAAAAAGGAAAATTATAAGCATTGAGCATCCAAAATACGTAATTTTCAAAATTCAATATCTATATACGTAGCCCAAATACATGTAATAGAAAAAATCGGGTCCAAGTAAATCTAAAAGTTGCCTTGGTACCGCTAATTTTTTTTTTTAATTTCATACTGCCTTGTGGCAGATGGACGCATAGCAATGTTAATGATTTATGCTACGTAATTACGCGTTTTTTCGAACGCGCGTATCGATTATTGAAAAATAAAAGTCGATTTAACCCAGGCCAACAAGAGTGCCATACCTACAAAATGCACACAAATCATCCAAATCAACAGGCGTTCAATCATCATGATCATAAGAAATAATAATTAATCATATGAAGAAAAAAGGTGATTGAAATAAGCATCACCATCATCACTATAATACAAAATAAAATCATTACGATGTATGAAATAATAAGAAAAAACCAAAAGCAATATATACTTGCAATATTGAATTTGACTACTATATTCCCACTCATACACTAACGAAATCTAGTATAATCTCTCTTTATTTAAAAAACAATAAAAAAATCGAAAATGCACTTCCTACAAAATCATCAAATTGCAATCATCACAATTTTACTCGCAATATTTACGATCGGGACAATCGCACAAATGCCACAAATTCCTCAAATGCCCGATCTCTCGCAATTAGGAGGTGGTGGCCCTGGCAGTACACCTAATTTTGGTAGCCCAAAAGGTAATGCTAATAAGCCTGGCAGTGGCAGTGGTAGCTCTGGAAAACCACAAACTGCTAATGGTGTTCCTGGTGTTGGTGTTGGTGTTCCTGGTGCTGCGGGCGGACCTCAAGTTGCTGAACAGGCCGCCAAACCACAAGCTGCTGGTGGTGCTCAACAACCAGGTTCTCCGGACACTCATGCTGGTACCGCCCCACCTGCTACTGCAACAGCTCATGCGACACCTAGTTCTCCAACCGCGACAAACAAAGCCTCCACTACAACTTCTTCGAAAATTCCTACACCGACAAATTCTTCGGCCGCCGCTAAAAACCTAAATAATAGTGCCGTGACTAGCTTAGTTGTTACGATGTTTATTGGCATGATTTTTACTATCAATGGAAAATTGTAATTTTACTTGTTTGCTTATTATATTTATTTTATAACGGGAAATTGTAATGTTACTTGTTGGCCTATTATATTTATTATATTATTAAAATAAATGTGTACATGTCGTTAAAGAATAACGATAGCAATAATATTACGCATCAACACATTGTATAATATCGGAAATAAAATATTGCGTATTTTTCTACCAATGACATCGTTTATCCCTCAAATCGCGACCACTTCCCCATAACGAACCATCATCGTTTTTCACAATATTATTACTGCCAGAATTAGTTGTAGATGAAAATACACGTGCGGTGGTTGTCACTATTAAAAAGATTATTAATGACTTTGAGATTATTGATTTTTGTGAAAAAGCAAAGGGCATATTGATTATATATTTTTTTCGTTTTTTTTGTTAACGTTAATTCTTTTGGATATTTGTCGGAACTCGTTTGTCGTATTTATATTATCGTTATTGAATCAATATTGCCACTAAAAAAAATCCGATAAATTCGTTCATCTAAAAAATTGCCAGCCATTATATATATCCGTTCAACTAATCAATGCAATTAAAATGGGCTTTAATGATAAATGAAAAACTTTCGGTTCCTCAGTTTGAGGAATCCGGATAAATTAATTCGTTTTTCAAATTAAGAGATCGACAACAGCAGGGTTTGAACCTGCGCTCCCATAGGGAATCAGATTTCAAGTCTGACGCCTTAACCACTCGGCCATGTTGTCATTAGTGCGTACTAAATATGTTATAATTATTTATATAAATTACATAAATTACAAATTTTTCAGTGCATTTTTATTTACTACTCGATTTGTACCCTAGGATTAATCAAGCAAAATTGTAAAAGACCCGAGGAAACTACTATTCTGTACTGTATTGGAAAGGATTAGGTATGTAGGTTATCTTAAAGGTTGTCTAAATACATGTAGCATAGTAGACAGTTTATGCTATAACCCGTGTAATATAAGTATCCCTTTTACATAAACTCCCCATTTTAGAATACCCTCCCCCATACAACGAACCCAGGGGGTACTAATCAATTTTTAAGCTCGTAAATTGTAAGAGACCCGGGTACTATTTGCGGAGAAATACGGTATTTAATGATTACTAGACAGATATAAAAAGATTAATTAATATTTTTATTTATAAAAAAGATTCATCCTAATCGCCTTTTTTAATTAATACTAATAAAAATAACTATCTACGAATAGATAAAATAAAAAAAAACAAACTATCAAATATCCGTATCATTAAAAAGATAAGTAATTAATCCGAAGACATGAAATGATGCTGCGCCAAATACGGATACTGTGAGGTAGTATTCAAATCAACCGAAGACGTAGAAGCACCATGAGATCCATATAACGTCTGCTCCGTGAGTACCGACTGATGTGGAGGAGAAGACGGCGGCGAAGCGACTACTCCATGATCCAAATAACTATTACCACCGGTAGCGTGTAAATGAGTTTCTTCGAATGACGCTTCGCTTACATGAGGCGGCTGTTTTTGATGTGGTGATGATTGTTGATGTTGTTCTAGGAATTGATATGGACTATCGTGATCATCGTGTATGTTAGTTGTCACATCAGGTGCCACTATATTCCTATTATGATAAGTGTTGTCATCGTTGTAGTCATGCCCGCTTTTTCCTTCGTAACTTTTTGAACTTGTACGTCTAACACAACAGAACACTATTATAGCTATTGCGATTACTAGTGCACCAAGTGTTATTGCTATTGCTGCTTTTACCAGTATACTGAATTCCCCATTTGGACGAATAGTAGTATTAGTGCTATTAGTTTCTGTTGTCTCATTTATTTTCGGTGGCAGAATAGGAACCAATGATCCATTCCAATCACAAATATTCGTTTTACAAACACCACTTAACGGACAATTATCATCCGATCGACAAGTATACAGACATGTATCATTCATGCACCTTTGACCTTGGTTCTGATACTGACAATCGTTGTCCACTTGACATCGTTGACTGTTTGCGTGTATTCCGGTGATGATTGATGACGATGTGAGTAACGAGAGAATAAAGTAGAGTGATGTGAGACTGAGGAAGAGAAACAGTATTGGTTTTTGTTTTTTAGGAGTGTTGCTGTTCTTATTTCTGTTTGATCTTGTTTCTGTCTCGGGTGGGGCATTGATAAAGGTGATTGATTCGGTTTCTTCAACTTTCCATTTTCCTCGTTGGCTGCTGCTACTGCTCCTCCTGCTTCTCCTCGAGTGAAGAAGCATTTATTAAAATACTCGCAACAATTAAATATTCCGAGGATTAGATCCTGTTGTTTCTTTTTAAATTTGTTAGTGTTGTTGTTGTTGTTAGAGTAGACTCGAGGTTTTTTGGTGTTCGGATTTTGTTGTAAACTGTTGTTACTCTCTATAAAATTACTTGAAATATTATTATCGTGGCTGTTATTGTTGTCGTACTTTGTGACGTTTCGTTTTTGGATGTTTGCTATTCTTGATGATGATGTTGCCGTAAAAGACGTGTCAGATTGTTGTTGAAACATGCAGAATTGAGATTTATTTATTTGCTGATGGTATTCATTCAGAGTTTCTTTTGACATAAGATAATTCGTATGTTAGAAATAAACCTTTCGATTAAAAGTATCATTTACGTCTATCAAGATCACCTACCGCTTCGCTACTAGTCATTAGCTCATTATAACATTAACGTTTTTTTCTTTTCTATGTGGTGTGCTGTGTGTTATGTATGATTGAAGAATGAATAACGTGTGGAGAACAATAAGATCGAAATCAAAAAGAATACGATCAAAGAATAAACCAAAATCAATAATCTTTTTTAAAAGATAAATTATAAATAAAACAATAATATAAATAACAATAACAAAACATTAAATAAATAAAATAAAAACAACAAGATTTAATCACTCGTTTTCTCTTTCTTGCTTTCTGAATTCAAGGTTTTTTTGACACAAATTTTTGCTCGCTCGCAACCAAATATCTCACACATACAAACACACACAGTGTCCACAATATCATATAATCTCGGGGTAGTTTTTGCTTCTCTTTCGCGCTATAAGATGGCATGGTGTGCGTATATTGTGTGGCTGTGTGTATGAGGGTTACTTAAAGCCATCCATCTAATAATTCACGGATATAAATAATAATAGAGCTTTCCATATTAATGCTTTTAAGCCTGTTCTGTGAAATAGCAAAGCCTCTTTTCTCCTCGTTCCTTTTCATTTTATTCGATTTCTTTTCGTTACGGATAATTGTCATTTTAGACGAGTAGGAGGTAATCAATTCACATTGACATGGATTCTCAATTTAAGTTTTGATGGTGTAACGATTTGTCATACATTGACTTTTGTTCGATATCTATCGATATTAAACTATATACATGTACATGTAATTTCTTGCTGACAATTATCACATCTTGTGACATTATTATTGCACACAAGAGAGGTTACATGTACACAATAGGAACTCGATATGGTAATAGATTAGAATAGCAATAGCTATATCGATACCTGATAATTCAGTCTAACGTAAGATTATGCATCACTTTTACGTCATGATCAAGTACACATCCCAATCGCATTTTCTAGCTAATCAGCTTCATTGTTGAAGGGATGTGATGACGATGACGAAAACATGTATGTACTTGTTTGCTGCTTCCCGTTATTAACATTATTAGATAAGATATAAGTTGGTCGTTTTTCCATTATTCCCATTTTTGTGTCTGATTTTTTTTCCGTTTTTGCTGATTTTTTTGTGTATATAGAATATTAAAAAAAATATTAATTTTCGTCGTTCCAACATTTCCATCAATAATCAAAGATGGCTTATTTCGCATCAACCCCACCGCCAAACGACTACATAAAAGCCGACTCACGAATGTTCTTTTCATATCACCCAGAAAATACCACCTTTCAATCGGGGTACCTTGGAATAAGTCCCACCACAATATCCGGCACGCTTCACGTTCGATTTCCGGAAGCCGTCGAAGCGAAGAACGTTATACTGAAATTTATCGGCCGGGAGGCGGTCGAGTGGGTGGAGTTGAAAAAGGTGCGCGCGGAAAAAATCATAATCGACAAGAGTATTTATTTGTGGCAGTCGAACACGGAGGTCGGACATGAATTGATTACGGATTTAGATTTGCCATTCGAGTTTGATGTGCCGAGTAATGCTTTCGAGTCTTTTAGCGCGGATTTTGGTAATGTGATGTATACGTTGCGTGCGACTGTTAATCGTAAACCAAAGAAAAAGAAAACTTGGTGTGAAGTAAATGTACCAATTTGGCGATGGACTATTCCGGATGAAGAAGAATTGAGACCGTTAGTAATCAAGTCACGTGCGAGACCACGTAAAGTTCCATTAACATGGAAGGCTGTTCTCCCACAAACATTCTTTGACGTCAATAAAGACATGCTGATTAAGTTACAACTCACGGCACACAACCCAGCACTTCGAATCAAGAAAATTAGTGCGTATCTAAAAACTTACGTGAACTATACCGTGGATGATCGTGCAGTGAGTCCCGTGAATTCCTCCAGACGATACTCGAAACATGAAATCTACGGAAAGGATATCATGATGACGCCGATGGGTCCGGACACGATATTTGAAGCAAACGTCGTGGTCAAGATTCCAGGGAATGTTTCTCCCACCTGTAAGACAAAGTATATCACGGTCAAGAATGATATACAGATTAAGGTTTCATTTGAGCGGTCGAGTCATCATGTGCTTATTATGCGGGAAATTCTTGTGGGCAGAAACTTATTGGTAGATCGCTCTGCAGCTCCTATAAGAGATTCTTTGAATTACTCGGATCTTTTACCGAGTATACCGATGGAAAATTAATATTTTTGTTCGGATTGATCGAAAATATTGTCTTGATTGTGATGATAGATTGATGGTTTTACTTGCACAAGGATGTTTGGTATACGAAAGAGTTGATTGGGCAAAGGTGTGCGAATGATTTCAATTGGCAAGATAGAAATATTATATTGGGATATTATAAAAGTTAAGAAAAAAAACAATTTCTGATAACCCCCTTTTTTATTTATTTAAGTACGCATGTACTTCTAATAACCTATTCCTCTCTCCATACACACATAATCTCGAATATCCTTTATCTATTTATTAACTAATAATTTAAAGTAATCTTACATTTTTGTATATATCGATATCTTTAAAAATAAATATGAATCGAGTTAAATCAAGTAATCGAATTTGACATGGGAATTGCAAAATCAATCGATCAGGAAGACTGCTAATAAAATTGAACTATCGCTATGTCCAAATTACAGCTCTCGTCGAGGGTGTCAAAATGGTTATGAAAACTGTCGGCCAGAACAGGAGAATATAAAAACTAATGTGTTTCATTATTGCATTTATTTAGTTTATTCAACTCATCAAGTTTACATGAAAAACAAAAAGCTTACATTATAATAAACTACAAACATTTTATTTTTGTCGTATTAAGGATTTTGCCTTAAATCTCGAAGACTTTCAAACCACCCACAACCTATCGTCAGCCATTATTTCTCTTCCCAAATAAAAAAAGTGTCAGTGCACCCTGACATTGCTGGAGAACTAACCCCTGGAGAGCAACCAACTTGTGATCTTGTTGTTCAAATATGAAAGCATCCATACCTGATAATCCTTCCATCAGTGACAGAAATCGTCGCGACCTCTTGCTCACGTTCACGTTGTTCAGTCGGTACCATTCTTATAATGTTGTATGATAATAGCCGGAATTTATGTTTTTTTTTCAGCGATTAATTGTTATCGAGGGGAGTTACTTTAACTGTTCCTGAAACCGATTTTTGTTTATCGAGGTTTTAATTAGTGCTTCGGTTTTTTGGTAGTCGGTGCTCTGAATAGTTCGGTTCAACTGGACCGAATGGGGTCAAATTTCATCACTATCGGTTCCGCTGCTGTGAAATTCATCATTATTTGCCCGTATTATGTTTTTTTGCCATTGATGCCGCCACCGAAATTTTTGAACCTTATGAGAAATTCCCCTGTAAAAATTACGGGTGTTTCCCTGTAATCCAATACAAATCACAGGTGGTTACAATTACATGTAATTACACCACAAATTTCTTATCGTTATAGGAGAACACGGATTTTCTGTTTTATCGGACCAATCGGCTACAGTGTACGATATCTGGCCCCTTAGTTTTACATGTACATGTATATCGTGAAGCCTATAATATAAACTGTGGGACTAGGTAAAGAACACTGCTTGGAAATCGATATGCGGGAGAGATACAGTAAATCAACGACGTCGACCAAAATGTGAATGCAAAAAAGCCAGTATCTTTGTTTAACGTTAACGGCAATAAATGGATAGAATCCGTAATAAATAAAATTTTTTGATTTTAGTGAATTTTCCGTGAAGTTTATAGAGCAGAAGTGAAAAACGAAAATTTGACTGTCATATTTAGAAGAATAAACTAATAACAAAATTACGAGCATTTCTTATTAACCATAAAAAAACATAATTCGCTTTTACGAAATAACTAAAGGCAAATAAATATATACATAGTTGTAACTTCATAATTATATGTATAATAAGAATACCATGCACAAACATACATGATTTTTACGAAGTACGTATGGCGATGGCGGAACTCTTAAAAATTATTTATACCAAATTTTTCCAACCTGACTGGGAATGAAAAGTTAAATTTAGCCAAACAGCTTGCGCATGGATTGAGAAGTACGTATACATGATGCGGACATAATTTATCGTGATTTGGTATGTAAAGAATAACTTTTGTCAAATATTGTACTAAATATAAATATTTTGAATTGTAATATTCTCATTCATAGGGAAAAATTAAAAATCGCAGATTTAGGTTATCCGAAACTTTCGAACGAAAATTCAAAATCTAATCAAGTTATATTGATCCCGCATTCTTGAAAGATGCATCTGTTTTAAGGAGAAAGAAAAGCCAATTCACGGAACTCCTGATAATAATAAATAAAACATGTAAAATCAAGTGGTCACCAGAATCAAAAAAAATGTGATGTTTCAAGATTTGCTAAAGATTTGGCCACCGAAAATGAAAATAATGAATTTTCAATAATGATAAATATTGCGAAGTTATTGACAAATTTAGTAACTATTAAATAATTTACTCAACAAAGAGAAAAAGTTAGGTAAAATAGGCGCCGAACTACCATCGTATTACGACTTATACAGAATTATTCGAAAAATAGTGCTCAATATAGACTATTTTTAGAGTTTCTTTGTCAACCTGGATTCATAGTTGAAAAGAATGTTGCATTAGCATTGAAGTGATGACTCTACATTTATAGAGTTAATAATTAGAGATTTGGACTGAGCCTATCGTGCATTAGGGAGGGTGTATATAGTATTTATAGAGGGTGTGCCTAGGGAAGTTTCTCTGTAGTTCTTTTCCATAATACATCATTACAAATTTTTTCATAAAAATTGCTGTATCTATAATACAAGAGTTTTTCAATTCGGTCAGTCTTTCCAAAAACATTCGGTCTTTGGACCGAATCGGACTGAATGGATTGATTAACAGCCCTAGAATTGGATAGCGAGCAATCACAATCATTCGAAAAAACCCATGGTGTTACGAGTCTTAGGGAAGCAGAGTCACTTGAACCTTCCAAATATATAGTTTACGAATTCGCAATTTACCTGGAATCTAGCATTCGTACCTAATAAAGTTATTGAAAATACAAGTAATCCCAGTTTCGAAATAATTTCTTTTTATGTATAATGTCTTACTATAATGATCAAAAAATTTTTAGTTATCAGGTTACTTGTAAGCGAGTTGTCAACTCAATTCACAAGTAGACTTCCTTTTGAACTCTAAATAAACTTCCTGCACTCATTTTTTTTTGCTATAAACCTGATTAATCTTTTAGTTTTTCTAATACTTTTCATCCCAGCAGATAACTCAAGAAAGGAAATTAAAAGATGATATTGAGAGAATATTTAATCTTTGATTATTGACAAGCCATCTTGGAATAGTTGATAATTTTTAATTTTTCAGTGTTATCAGTTCAGTAATTTTAGTTTTGACTGAATCCACCTATAAAACTTCTTAAGGTCCCAGTTACAGATTCACCGGCCGTGCATCGCATTTACATAATACATGTGAAATTGTGCCCGTCCACCCAGAATGGAGATCGGTTGCGCAATTTTAAATGACTTTTAAACCTCATAATTGTGATACTTCTGATCGGATAATTTATGCGGTTTTAATTGTGAGAAAAAGTGACTAAATTCTGGCATCTACGTTCGAATCAATTATAAAAGTTAAGCAAAATCTTTGCAGAAAGGTTAAAAGAATATTTTTTACGTTTGATCCTACTTCTGAGATTTATGATAATTTCAAAAAGTATTCTTACAATTTCTTATTATTTCGGCCTATAGCGGTAGCGGTAGAATAAAGCTGATTGTTGGTTTACTTGAATTTTATATCGATCTTTTATTAGTATTCATTTTTTCTGCTTATATAATTTTTTTATATAAAAGTACTTCTAAATATGATTTTGCATACATGACTTTAGCTATAATTTTTGACTTTGTATGTTTTTTAGATCACTTCAAAGGATAACGATAAAGAGTGGCATAGGTAAACTACGTACATATTAAGATCTTTTAAAACTCTAATGAAATGCCAGATTATTCAACAACACTCGCTGGATATTTTTTACCTACTATAGTGCATACAACCTAGTCACATCAATAAAACTTTGATCAACTTAAACCTTTTCACACTTTTACAAAATAAATATATCTAAAAACTCTTCATATATTTATAAAATCGCTCATCAGCTTCCAGTTTATAAAAGCTAACTTAATGTTTCATAGAGTAATGATAATAGCAGTTCAAAGTTCATTACTTTTCATATATCACCATTCATTTGAGACAGGTTATAAGCCACATAATTGAGCAAAGTCATTCACAACAACAACTCAAAAAATTTTGAAATCGTCACATTATAGAACTTGTGGCTTGAACACATGTTATTTTTTCAAGAAATTTATTAATAACTCAAAAATATTATTGCATTTGTTCTTGAAATATTTGCAGAGCTAGAGGATGAGATCTGGTTAAAAAATAAAATCTAATTATAACTTCTTTAAAATGATATTATTAATCCTCTTTTGATTAATTAGCTGAAAAATCTAAACAATCAATTGAAAGAGAATTGTGAATTATGAAAGTAAATATATATTCAAAAGTGAATTCCTTTTAAAAGAATGAAAAGAACAATAAATATAACTGATCTTAAGAAAGAATTGGTAAATGAAAAGCATACAATAAAGAACTAAAAGCACATAGTGATAGACTAAAAGCATATAATAGAGAATTTATTTGTAATAAAGCTCAAGAAAAAGTAAAAAGAGCTCAAAAAATAGAAAAAGTACAACTAGTTACTAAAAATTGTTGTAATAGTAATATAGAATAGTAAAATAGAAAGACTATTATATAGAAAATAAAGTATAATAAGTAGATAATTAATATAATTATACAAAGAAAGATAAAGAAAATAAAGATAAAATAGAGAAATATATATTGAATATTTTGTTTTTTATGAAGATTTTATACTTTCTATATTTGTTTTTTCTCTTATAATTATTATCTTTTCTCTTTTTTTATATTTTTATTTTGTATAAAAAAATTTTAAATAAGAAAAATTATCAAAAAATTACTTAAATATAAAAGAATATATATAATATCATATATTAAGTATTCCAATTATTACAATATTTATAAAAAATAAATTTATTTTCTAAATAAAAATAAACTAAAAATTAGTATTAAAACTAATAATTAATTAAGTTAAATTTTTTTAAAACTGAT